TACTGAATATTCAATTATTTCTTCTAGACAGTAAGACTCTATTAGTTATAATATAATTGTTTGCACCTGGAAAACTACAGATCCAGGTTAAATATTATCCTATGTTGTGGTGAGTCTGTTTGTTCTTAATTTAATTTTTAATGGTGAGTGACCTCAGGAATTATTCTGTCTCTTGCACCTCAAAAGGAAGTAGTATGCAAAACAATTGGATTGAGGGGTATGACTGGGTGGATGGTAAGAGCATGTTCAGAATGGGCAGAGTGTGTCTTGATGAGTAGTTAACAAACTTTTTTCCTATCTGTGGATTGTACGAATAGTTGTTGTGACAAAAGACTTTGAAGCATGAAATTTTAATGCCTTGTTTTACTTTTGGTTTAGGTTGGAGAAGCAAGAGCACTGTATAATCTGGGAAATGTGTATCACTCTAAGGGGAAAAATGTAGCTAGTGCGGGGACTCACGATCCAGGGGACCTTCCAGATGATGTGAAAAATGCTTTACAAAAAGCTGCAAATTATTATGAGTAAGTAAATGCTGGGGATTGGGAGGATATGATCATGTAGTTCATTAGAATATGGGAGATTTGTAGTGTCATGAGCTAAACTGTGGAACACTTCTATGCAGAACTGAGGTACCTGTGAATTTGTTGTTTTCAGTGGCAGAGTGCACTGGTTTTTGTTTGCCCTCATTTTTAGTGCACCTCACAAGTCCTTCCCTTAGGTTAGAAACCAGTAGTGCTCTTCAGACCAGGCTGAGTTGACAGGACCTTGTTATACTTGTATATGTAGCTAGAGGTGAGCACACTGGTTTGAGTAAGAATGCAGTGGAGTTCAGTACTTCACAGGAAATGTTTCCTACTCAGATCTGTGGCTGCATAAAGGCCATTGAAATAGGCCAAAATAGAATATCTCTACCTTTTCCTTTATATAAAGATTTTTTAAATTATTATTTAAATGAATGTGAGGAAAAAAAAACCTCTTAAAAGTCACTATTCTTCTCCTTACTTTCCTCCAAAACAGGGAAAATCTGACAATAGTAACAGAGCTGGGTGACAGAGCAGCACAAGGACGTGCCTTTGGAAACCTGGGAAACACACACTATCTTCTGGGCAACTTCAGGAGTGCAGTTTTAGCCCATGAACAGGTACAACCTGTGCTAATAAGGATTTCTGTTCTAGCAAAATGTCACTGGTTGCTCCTGGCCTTCAGTACATGCATTGTGTTGGATCTTGTTGCAAGCTTTTTAATGCAGGTTTTAAATCTTAATGGCAGAAGTTCAAGTTTGGCTGTTCTTATCAAGCATTGCTGACCTAAAGAATGCATTTTTTCATGTGCATTTCTGTATGCAAATGTATGTTACAAAGTATAAAATGGAGTAAATAATGCAATTATTTCACATTTTTAAGCGTCTCCTAATTGCAAAAGAATTTGGTGATAGATCAGCTGAAAGAAGAGCGTACAGCAACCTTGGAAATGCCTACATATTCCTGGGGGAATTTGAAACCGCTTCAGAATACTACAAGTTAGTTGACTTCTTCTAAATACAATTTATACCTCTTGTACAGTTTACTTGTTGTGTCTGGTACTGTAGCTCACTGTAGAATAGCCATCTTGAACATATACTTAGGAATAAAACTTCTATTTGTTTGGCAAAAATATTTTTTCCTAGCTGTTTAACTATTCTGATTCTTTTAAGCGAGGGATTAGTATTTTTTTTTGTTGTTTTTTAACTCTTTTGTTACTCTAAATAGATTCCTCTCAGCAGTGTAGACAGACATCTTTCTGTTCCTAGGCATTTGTTCCCATTTATTTTAGAACCAGGCATTACTGTCTTGGCTCTTAGCGAGTTCTGGAAGGATCTGAGTAACTTTTCTACCCTGAGTTGGGTGGCTGCCTTGGGTGTGCTCAGTAGCTGAGAGAGGTGGTGCATGGCAACACAAATTTACATCCTGAGTCTGTATTTTTAATCCAGGCTTTTTTCTTGACCTCTGCACCACTAAAGAGTTGCTGCTGTACTTGGGAAAGTAAAAGCTTGGCAAAGATACAGTACAGGTGTTATTAGCATCTTACTTGGATCTCAGAGCTTACCTGTTCTTTTTGAAAGGGAAAAAAGCCTCAGTACTGAGCAGATTCGTCTTAGCACTTGAATTCTTCTTGCCCAGCAGGGCCAGGCTGGCTTGGTGAGTATAGCCCTGCCTTGCTTCTGCTGATGGGCAAGTCGTTATTGTAACACTGGTACTAAACTGTGTCAATTTGCATACTGTCAGGGAAACTCCTACAAATTATTAATGAAGCAATAAATTAAGATTAAAAGATGCTGTTTGAGGGATCAGCCTGCCCTTGAATGAAATAGATGGAAATACTTTGAGAAGGGCAAGGCAAGAGTTTACAATATAGTAAGTAATTTATTAGCCGATAATTTGCCAGCCAGGTTTCCTAATTTGTTTAAGTTGTATAACTGATTTTTAGTTGTGCAGGGATACTTTTGAAAGGTTTTCCTTGCAGTGATTTTTGAGGTGACTAACCCTTTCTTCCAGGAGGACACTGCAGCTGGCTCGGCAGCTGAAGGACAGAGCCGTGGAAGCACAGGCCTGCTACAGCCTTGGGAACACGTACACTCTGCTCCAGGACTACGAGAAAGCCATCGATTATCATCTGAAACACCTGGTGATTGCTCAGGAATTAAATGATAAGTAAGCCCTAAGACACTGTTTCATGTATGTGTGACACTTACAGCAAATCCTGTTACCTCCAGCTCTGCTGTCATTGTTCTGTATGTGACAGCTGAATTAATGTGAACTCCCTACAATGCTGGGCTCTGGTTTTCATATGGAAAACCAAAGTTCCTCATGAAGGTATTGCAGTTACTGAGTCTGAGATGAAAGACCAATTGATGAGTGACTGTCTCTACATCTTCTCCTGTCACCACTGCCTCTGTAAATTAAGGAAAGAAAAAGCAGATCTCTCTTTCATGACTCCATTATAATAATTTTGCATACTTTCATAAAAATCTGTCTCCAACTTGTCCACAAATTAATAATATGGGAGGAGGTGGGGAAAGGTAAATAACACAGTAGCAAGTAATGTTTGTATTACAGTCATGATTTCTAAGGCCTTTTTTATAATGTTGGGTACAACTAAAAGTTTTTCCATTATTTAAATGTACATATTCTACAATGTACATATTCTCAATAAGCAGAATATAGGAAGAATAATAAGGCATGCAATCTGAGGACAAGCAAAGTAGGTTATACAATGTTCCATGCTTGCAAAACTGAGTGACTTGTTTGCTGTGAGCTTAAAATTGTGATTAGATTTGTTCATATTTATGGTAATACCCAGATCACACTTCTTTAAATACAATACCTAATGTGTTGATGTTGGAACCGTCTCTGATGACAGCCTCCCTTTTTCTTGGCACAGCGATCTTACTGTGGCAGTGCTGTGCAAACCTGACCCCTGGTGTTCAGCGGGTAAAGGTGTAACTGAAAATGTGTGTGTGCTTTTCAGAATTGGTGAAGGAAGAGCGTGCTGGAGTTTAGGGAACGCATATACTGCTCTGGGAAACCATGACCAAGCTATCCACTTTGCAGAAAGGCACCTGGAGATTTCAAGAGAGGTATGATTTGCATACTCCCACTGTTGACTGTTGGCTTTTGCTCTCACTTACACAGTGGTTTTATGGAGGTGTATCCATGCATTTGATTTTGAGTAATGGAATGCATTTTGAAGGCAGAGATAGTTAATTCCACATCATTTCAGCCCCATCTTGCAGCTTGCTTAGTTCTAGTGTCACCTTTCATAATGTCATCATGGAATCCAAGTTGAGTAGCCTATTAGAGGTTATTTTAGGCTTTATGAGTTGTCAGGTACTTTATTAAAAAAGATGGTTCTCTCAGTATTCAAGCAGGAAAACCTTTTCAGCCTTTTTCTGTCAGAAATCTGGGGGACAAGGATTGCTTTACACTTTCATGTTTGTACTTCTTAAGGTAATATAACTGCTTATTTTATTTGCTTGAAGGTAGGAGACAGAAGTGGAGAACTCACTGCCAGACTTAATCTCTCAGATCTTCAAATGGTTCTTGGATTAAGCTACAGTACAAATAACTCTATGATGTCAGAAAGCCATGTGGTAGAAAACAGTTTCAATGGTATGTACCTCTTTCTGCAATACTTTCGAACAAAGCATTCTGAAAGAGTGTTGTGTTCTTTACTGACCATCCTGGTGTGCAGGTTTGCTTGGTTTTCTCCCCCACCAGCAAAAGACAGTTGTTTTTGCAGTATTGGACCCCTTCAGCACCTCCTTTTCTGGAGGATTTACATTGTGAATCACTGGTTACTGCTTAGTTTCTTCAGATGATGTTTCTAATTGTGTCCGTGTCTTCCCCTCCCTTTTTTAATGTGGGAGATGTATCTATTTGCTGTCAAATCCTGTCTTTTCCTGCCATCTCAGCAACACTGGGGTTACAGCAGAACCCAGTCCATTTGCTGTTCCTCTTTTCAAAGGTCCATGGTCCTTCTCTCATGTCCTATGAAGGCAACTTAGATAGCTTAGATTTGGGCGGGTTTTGTAAGCTGCTTTTACTAGTGGTTAGTTATTCTTTGCTGATATACTTACCTGCACTGTTTTGGAAGTCAGAATTGCTGTGCCTTGGACCTTAGATGAGTACAACCACAGCTTTGATGATAAATCTGCATAAATTTTGATGATAAAAAGATGAACTTGATTCTCTCTTGAAGGTACCAGACCGAGAGCAGGACGCCGTCACAGCATGGAGAACATGGAACTTAGGAAATTAACCCCAGAAAAGGTTGGCACTTTGCTTCTGTTCTGCTGCTGAGATTGCAGTGAAACATTTCTAAGGGTTTGCTGACATACCACGTGCCTCCCCTTTTAATTTAGTTGATCTTAGGAGTTACATAACAGCAGGTCTAACCATACTAACAAATAATAGTTTTCTTGTGAGTGTGGAGCGTGTGACACAGATAATGGCTGTAATGGCTTGTGGGAAGCTTGCTTTATTCACTGCACAAATAAGAAAGAATGAGGTCCTGTAGGTGCATTCATATCTTTATAGAGATGGTTTGAGGTTGCAGCATGAGTGATTCAGAGTAAAATTTCTCAGCTTTAGTTCAGCTGTTCTGAACATTTTTTCTTTGGCTACAGTCATTTTATAGGCACTTAAAATATATGGGTTTTTTCCTTTTGGGATTTCAATCAACTTGCAAGCCATCAGGAGCTTCAATATCCATCTTGAGTAAGGGTGCTATTGCAGAAATGCTGCACCTGAGTCACTGATAAGCAAAGCAACTTCCTCCCCAGGCTCAGAGAAATCTCTTAGAGATAGGAGTTCCTGATTAAAATCCTTGTGTCACTCTGTGAGAGTTTTCCTTCAGTTCTATCTGCCTTTCAATAGTGGGCTGGCAGTTCTACATGAATGACTCCAGTGGCACACTGAAATTGATATTTTTCCCTCCACACTGGGATATCTAATTCCCCTCTCTTCAAGTGAGGCAAAGCCTGTCATCATGTTGATCAAACAGGCAATAAAATCTCAAAGCACATGGACAGTGGGTACAGCTGAAGTCAGCGCTAATGCTCAAGACCTGCTTTGGGTACCGATTTAGAAAGTCTGTTTCATGTAGATTTTTGGCTTTAATCTACTATTGCAGTCTAGCACTTTATAAAGGACTTTTTTTCAACGTACTTATTGAGTAGATTCTTCCATGGAAGTCCTTGGTATCTACAGCAATGCACAACAGGAGCACTAGGGTTTCAGTGGACAGGATGCCATCTTGGAGTCACAGTCTGTGTGCGGGTGCTCAGGAAGCCTTGAAAAGGCAATCCAGTAGGCACTGTTGCTGGAAGATTTGTGACTGTGTTCATGCTTTGTGATGTTGAATCAGGAAAGAAAAGGTTTTATTTTGGTTTTACTCAGTTATAAGAGTCTGTCAGTTGTGGATAAAGCTATTTTGTGGATAATTCTATTTATTTTAGAAGATATTTTAGGGAAAATCTGACAGGTTGACAAAGCTATCCATTCTGATCTTTAGTGAAACAAGATGGTCATTCCTGTTTGCTCTTGTGCTGGCATTATTCTCCCTCTTCCTTTTCAGTCTTTACTGAGAAGTTTGTGTATATGAAGGACTTCAAGGAAGGCTTGTTGAGTATCTGGGTTGGTATAAGGGTTTTTTTGCTCTGACACTTTGTAATATGGGGGCTTTTAATTTTTTTATTTCCAGTTTTAAGAATGTCAGGTGGGAAATACCAGCTGTGTCTGCAGTTCAGCATTTACATTATAACTGTTTTTCCTGCACTGCAGTCAGCAAGGACAACTTCAGTGTGTTTAATTAAATACACTATTTGATCACATTTTAATCCATCAGGTGTCACACAACAGTTCTCAGCCTAATCAGTAACAGCACTAACCTGCTCCAGCCAACAACAGCTCACTAATCCCAGGTCAAGTAACAGAACCAAACCCAAAGTTTTAACATCCTTGTGGTTGGATGAACAAAATAAAGCTGCTTCATTTTGGGAAGGAGAAGCAGCAGCAAGTAGGAGGTAATTAAAATCTCAAGGCTTAATTTCATGACTCTTGTTTTCTTAGGTTCAGAACTGGAACAGTGAGATTCTTGCTAAACAGAAACCACTGGTTGCCAAACCTTCAGCAAAACTGCATTTTGTAAATCGACTAAAAGGCAAAAAGTACAAAACCAGCACCACTTCCAAAGTTTTGCAGGATGCCAGTAATTCTATTGATCATCGACTTCCCAACTCCCAGAGGGTAGGTCTGGTGAGCTGTGGAGATCATCACCTTCACTCATCTTTGTCTGATCAGAATTATGGAAAACACATTCCTGCAACTGTCCATTTCACTTTAACTTCATTTAAACACTGTGGCTCTGTAAAACATGCAGAATCTTCCATTCTACAGCTGTCTCATGGGTGGTGCCAGCTTTAAGCTTTTCCTAACACTGCATTGTATTCCTCATGGATTTTCTAAAGTTAGAGCTCAGCTTACCCACGTATTTTATTTCTAAGTCTCTTCTAGACACTGCTTCTCTAAACTTAATAAAATCTAGTTTCTCTGATTCAGGCAGTGGGAGATATTTTGGACATTTTAGATTATTGCACTCTTGACAGAACTCAGTTAAAAATAAAAGGCATTTGATCATAAACCTGAGGAGACAATGGAAACTGCTGATTGCTGTTCTTGTTGCTTTTCTTCTGTCATGGGCATTTGGGTTTTTTTCAGTGGATTAATGGCTGAGGAGGAATAACTCCAGCTGTACCATGATCCAAGCACTGTTTCTTTCCACGTGAGAGAATGAAATGTTTCTAATATATTATACCTTAGAAAAATGCTGCCATATTCTTATATCTCCTCTTATGATAAATCTCTGTGTATAGAAAGGGATGACTAAAAAAATTGATTTTAATAGATATCAGATACACAAATATGAAACAGGACTGGACTAAACTCTGATGCAGTTGTCTCAGCTTTAGATACTCTTAAGTTCCAAATACCCCTAAATCTTTTCTCCTTTTCAGAAAAGCAGTCGAGAGACAATGGCAGATGAAGGGTTCTTTGATCTGCTGAGTCGATTCCAGAGCAACAGAATGGACGACCAGAGGTGCTACTTCCAGGAGAAGAACAGACTCCCAGCTGCTTCAGTGGCAAAATCCTCTACTCCACCTAAAACAATGCGAAAATGTAATTTTTTTTTTAAGTAAAATCTGTATCTGACTTGAGTTTCTGCCAAATGCCATTTTCAAAATGTATTTGCGTGCACGACTCACTACAGAAATTTTTTCAGAAATTTTACAGTTATTTCTGGGCTAACTTGTTTTCTTCCTGCTCCCCAGCCTTTTCCACTTCTGTGGTGTCCCCACACACAGATGAGTTTCTGGACCTCCTGGCAAGCTCGCAGAGCCGCCGGCTGGACGACCAGCGCGCCAGTTTGAACAACCTGCCCGGGCTGCGCCTCCCCCAGCGCGACAGCCAGGCCGTGCTGGGGCACCTCATGGCCAGCAACAGCAGGGAGCTGGATGATGACTTCTTTGATAGATTGATAAAATGCCAGGTCAGTGCTTAACAAAAGTTCTTCAGCTTCTGAGTCTCTGGGGATGTGATTTGTGCCTCCTGCTATTGAGTTGCTTGGTTACCATGTGATTTAAGATACATACTGATTTGGCAGATAAGGAAGAATATAACAAAATATTAGGATTTTTTCCCCAAGTTTTGGGGTTCTTTTACAATTTCTGTTTCTTGTTTTGATTTTTTATTTTTTTTTTAATTATCCAGTGTCTAGTAAGTGTAAATTTCGTATATATACCATGGTAACTATGTCAAGTAACAAAAATGTATATTATGGTAACTATTTCTAGAAAAAATCCTTAAAAAGGAAAACAAGTGAGGCTCTTAAAATGAATATTAAAATGACTTTTAAGTGTAAGGCACCTGATATACCAGGAATTCTATGAAATGAAATTAAAGGATTTAGTATTCAAGTTTTGGTCATCATTCCCATTATGGTTAGTGTAAATGATAGTTCATAGCAATAGAGAGGTGAGATGGCTAATTGTCAATTAGAGCATGGTATATATACCAATTAGACCAAAAAGAATTTAATTAAATGAGTTGATAAGCATCTCAAAATGCAAAATTCAGATACTGAGTTCTCCAAAGGTAAGTATGTTAGCTGGGGTGAAAAGAAGCACCTGGAATTGAATTTCAACCTGATGAAATATCATGTTCTGTTTTAGCAGCTTATCTGTTTACTCCTTTGAGTCAAGCAAAGAACCTAGAAATTAGTATGATATATTTTGTCTCTTTAAGGCATGGAAAAATATTTAATCCCCTCTCATCATTATGGAGGCTAGTGCTTTAAACAGAAGCACAAAAGGGGTGCTGTCCTTTGAGACTTTTTGGCTGAAGGATGACTGTCCAAGGTCCATCCAGCACTGAAAGCTTTTCCTACACTGACAGAGAATGCTAATTCCCAGCTCAGGCACAGGAGCTGCCGTAGCTGTTGCAGCCTGACCTGGTGCCTGTAGGAGCTGGCCAGGAGGGCAGTTGTGTGAAAGGAGCACAGAAACCATCCCATGCTCTGTAACTCTGTCACTGAACTGTTCCTGTCCTTACAGTGTGGAGGTGCCTTTCAGTATTGCCTTTCCAAATCTGACTCCAGTGGGGCCATTTTTTACTCCCTGTATAAGGAAAGGAAGACAACTATATTTTTCTGTATATGAGACTACAAATACTGCATAGTAGTGCTAAAATTCTTCTTCTGGACAAAGGACACAAATCTCATTCTGCAATAGGACAGTTGGGGGGTATTTTCAGATACATACGGACATTTTAGCTTAACTTGCATTCTTAGTAACTTCATTTGACCAGTTTAGCTTGAAACGAAATTTAAAATTAAATCTATATAATAGCTCTAAATCTGAAAACAAAAGCTTTTATGAGTTTTTTCACTTATATTGTTCATTTATTATATCTGTCCCTGTAAATATGCAGCTTTATCTCTTGGTCTGTCTGTAGGGTTCCAGACTGGATGATCAAAGATGTGCTCCTCCAGCATCTGCAAAAGGATCCACTGTACCAGATGAGGATTTTTTCAGCCTCATTTTACGATCACAAGCTAAGAGAATGGATGAACAGAGAGTCCATTTACCCCCAGCTATAAAGGGACCAAATTCTAGCTGAAGACACACACACAGGAATGTACTGTACAGCAGCATCTTAGGTATCATTTTTGTTTGCCTTTTTAAAGATGACTGCAATGAGTAGTTTTGTCTCCTTTCTAATGATTTTCCATAGAAATAGCAGCAGCATCACACGTGTGACTGGTAGTTATAGAGTTGCCCCTGCTCATGCAGTTGGCAGCTGCTTTTATAGCAGTCTGAGATACCATTACTGTCTCTCCCTCTTAACTGTCTCTAGTCTATCAACATTAATTTTTTCTCTGTCAAGGTTATCAGTGCTCATGTGTGGATTCTACTACTGTCTCAATCTAGTGTAAGACCTAAATTTTTATGTTGTTTTTAAAGAAAACTTGATTTCCCCCCCCGCTTTGTACCTCCTGAAAAAAAGGTCCTGTTTTCTTTTATACTTTTTTTAAAAAATAAAAAAAAAATTGAGAAATAGCTTTGGTAGTTAGTCTGTCTTTGCAGAAACACAGTTTGGAAGAAACAATCATTTCTATTAAAAAAATTAAACCCTGGTTTTAGTTCTGTTTAATAAAAAATAAGTTTTTTCAAAACATGATGGGTTTTTTTGGTAATATTTAGTTAAGTGGTTCTTACATTAACTCAGCACAGTTTTACAATCAGGAGAAGTTTTTAGAAGTACTTCTTTTCAAGTAACAGCTGCTCATGCTGCTCTACAGATGGTGTGGTACAAGTCCATGCACCAGAGAATCACAGGGGTGGTGGGCACTTGGCACGAACTCCCAGGGACACACTGTAGTTCCTGCAGTACCTGAATTTCAAATGTCACATGCTGTAAATGCTCATAGGCTGCTTATTACCTGACCTCAACTCCTTCTGTTCTTGCTAACGATGTGCTATGCTGGGATAGTTCTGGGGAACAGCCACTGTAAACTTCATTTTCCCTGCAGTAGATCCCGGTCCCGAGGCAGTTCTGGGGAACCCTGAGGGCTGTGCCTGGTTTAACTGTAGGTATCTTCAGTTGGAAGCCACTGATTTTAACAGCAAAGGTGGCAAACTGTTCACTTTGGGTATTTATAAATGATGTCCTGTTTTTATTGAAGCATTATACCCCTAGAGAAGAACCTACAGTTAATTTTAGCTTCAGAGGGAAATGGCAATGTAAGAATAAACAGACACATAATTCAAACTATTTTACAATTACTGAAAGATTTATAAATATTCCCTTGCAGCTTTTTTTAGGCACTGAAATCTGAATCCTACTGAAACTAAAACTCCTCCCTCTGCTTATAAGGAGAAACGTCAGAATGTTCTTCAAAAAAAAAAAATCACCAATCAGTTTATCATCCTGAGCTTTGATGCTTTTACTCTGCTTCCTATTCCCTGTTCAGCTTTGAATTGCCCTAAAACTCATCTGACACATCAGCTTCTCACTCTGCAAATCATTAAACTAGGAGAAAATCAGTTGGCTGTCCTAAAACTGAGCCGACAAACAGCCAACTGGTTTTACAGACTATAAACCCAAAGACAGACCCGAGACCTCCATCTGAGCTGTGATTAGTGTTATGTGAATTACAGGAATATCAGTAACTTCCTTGAGGCTGTTGGACAGTTACCTGGCTAGGCTTGTGTTTGCTACATCAGAGTATCCTTCCCCACTGAGAATCTAATTTTACCCAAAACTTATTACACAAACTTGATTTCCAACAAGTAGCAACACCCCATAAGCCTGTTTTCTTGGCCACTTAGACGTATATTATTATCTTAACACATTTATTTCAAATTCCAGACACAGTACCTATAACTCTCCCAGATTTTACAACCCCACCTTACACCTTACTGATGTTCTCTTTCTGACACTGGAGAACTAGAGAGAATTAGCAAGTACATGACAACCAAAGATTAGACGACACTTACAGCAGAGCTCGGGCCTTCCTTAGTCTCCTTCCTGGGAGTCACATAAAATGCTCTTTTCCTTCTCTTCACGTTGCTCCATCGCAGAGCTTCTCCCTTCTAGGTTTTTATTGGGATCACAGTTTTCTCCAGCCTCTCGCTCTGCTTTGCCTGTCTCCTGTTTCTGCTGCTCAACTGCAGGTTCCTCAGTATGGTTTTCAGCTTTGAGAGTTTCTAGTCTATGAACTTCAGACTCAGTGTACAACCTATTCTGTAAAAAAATTAATAATAATTAATAATAATTAAGCAATCTAAAGTGACAGCATCTATGGCTTCAAGGGCACCTCAGCTCAAGGGGCAGAGCTCACCCAAAGCATGAGTAGTATAATTTTTTCCCCTGGGGTAACAGTGCATGTAAATATACACAATGTAGGGTATAAATCTGTTTTGAGTTTTCTCTAGTTTACAGAAAAGTCAGCACTTCCCTCCCCCTTTCTCCTGGGGGTAATCATGAATGCCCAGGCTGACATAAGTACTGATCTCTGAAAACTGAAGTCTTAAAGAGTTTTAATTCAGTAGTTTCCTGCCAGTTAGCCATTGCAAAGTATTTTTCCAGAAAGAAACATGTCCAAGACAGCTCTACCAAACTGTTCTATCAGGAAACATGTACTTCCTTAACTCCTCTCTCCCCAGGATTTGGGTTAAGCTTGTTGTTTAAGCGTGTTTATTAGATGACATTGGAATCTATTCAATTTAATCCCAGCTCAAAGAGCACCAGGACTAACATTAGGTTCTGGTTTGTGAGACTCTTGTACGTGTGTGTCCGGCTCATCGCTGGTCTGTGCCGTGTCGGGGTTCCTGCTGCCATTCGCTGCTCTCACAGTGAGGGGAGGTCTCGCAGAGCCATCTCCTCTGTCCTGGTGTCCTCTGTACACATACGGGTGCTTCTGCAAGTAATAGTCCTCTGATTGCCTCCCATCGTACTGCCCAAAGCCTATTTGCTCCTGTTGACTATCAGGTGGAGGAAGACTTTTCTTCGGAGAAGATGTTAAGTATCTTAACGCAGACACCGATGATCCTGCGCCATAGCAAAAAGCCTGGGGGAGGGAAAAAACCAAGCTGAACAAAACACCACATACTTGCAGCCTGTGGTTCTCACATAGATATCAAAGTCAGGCATCTACAAGACCCTGAATGAAAAACTCAGGTGATCAGAAGGGCTGCAGTAAAATTCAAGCTTTCTACAGTCTGACCACACTGCAGGAACTGCCACGTAGGGTGCAGTTCATTGTTGGTGCTACACTGAAGTTGTTGAAGGTTTTAACTCAATGCTTTTGTGTACAAAATGCCAATTATATGCATCTCTGTGTAATGACACAAAGAAGAAATGGGAACTAAGCTGCAATAAACTGTCATAGAGTCTTAGATTTTAAGCAGTTTAATGCAATTTTATCCCACTTGGGGAGAGGGGGGGAGTTGTGTTTTGAATACAAACTTGGCTATTTTAATTGCTAAACCACCTGTACTGTGAAGCCTTGGTCAAGAAAAAATTGCCTTGCAGAAGTAATTTCATCTGTGTTACGTAAAAATAACAAATAAATAATAGATAATAAATATAAATTAAAATAATATATAAAAATAAAACTGAGCTCTTAAACATAAGATAAATGTATACAAACCAGGACAGCCAGAGCCATCATAATTAGTACTGGAACCTGCAGAACGAATGGAATCTCCTTCATTAGTGCCTTGATGAATTCACCAATACCTTGCCCTACGTGCTTCAAAGGCTCAGTTACAAAGTTGGTGAAAGTAATTGCCAAGGCCTAGAAAAATATAAAAAGAAAACAGTGTTGTCACACAAACAACAAACATCAACATGAACAGTCCCTTTGGACTTGGCATGTACCTTTGTTGGTGGAACCAGTAAAATAGGATTTACAAGTAGAGTTTCATAATACTTCTGACAGGGATCGTCCTGTAACGTCCACGTGCTTCTAAGCCATTCTGTCAAAGCAGAGACATAGTTTTACAACTTCTTAAAAATACATTCTATGACACAGCAGTAGTAGAGAAAGTAGCATTTCAATTATAGATGTAAGAGAGCTCTTCTAGATGCGGTTCAAAGCTCAGATTTATTTTTACAATTCTGAGATCAGCTTGGCAGTGTAGTTTATCCAGTCATAGTGATGGAGGAAGGAGAGGGAAGGCTAGAAAGAAAAAAGAACCTGAAGTTCTCACATGCAGAGTCAAGAAAGTTCTCTTTATTTGATGAACTTATTCCCTAGAAGCCTCAGGGGAAAGAGTCTCATCTGTGAGAACAATTATCTAGCACAATGTGTGCACAGCTACTGAAACAGTGCCATTCCCAGTGTTATTATTCATCTGTCAGTCTGCAGATGAGATTAAAATTCTCTGTTTTTCTTGCTAGATTTCAAGGGTCTATTTTATTTACAGGCAGAAAGTCTCACTTCTTAAGGGAACTTTTACATTATAAACAAGTCATTTACAACATCAGTGTTTCTGTAGTTTGGTATTACTGCAGTCAGAACATGAATCATTGAAATTTGTCATAAACAGAATAATCAAAGTCAATAAATTACAAAGGGAAGACCATAACAAGCAGTCCTTAAGAGTTGCCACCAGTCATCTACCAGCTATAGCACTGGATACTAATTACAGCTAATAAAAAAAAAAATCAGCTTTCTCTGTAAAATAGTAACACTCGAGTAAAACAGCTACAGATCTAATTCCTCAAGTCCACTGTACTCACAGGCCTGGCAGATGGAAAGAAAATAACCCTTTTCATGAGCTCTGCCCACCTGTCTTTGGTAAATGGCACTGGATGGTTCTAGGGAGGGGAGCTGGGGAAATAATCATGGGTAAGTTAAAAGAAAAAGAAGGAACACCGTGACATGCTCCGAGTACAGTTTTGTGATCAGCTCTCCTCCAAAGGCTAGAAAAGTCTAATAGAATGGAAAAATGGTAAAACCACAGAATCATGTATTGAGGAAAATTCAGTGCACTACTCATGAAGATATGTGACTATCCTTGGATACTATTATTTTGTGATCTTAAATACTATTACAAAATAACGAAACAAGTACTTACCAAAAAGACTTTCTCGCCAGTCCAACTTCTCAGCACAGATGTTATCAAAGTGCCCCATTTTTGCAATTTCTGCTTGATGCTGTGCAAAGGCCAACTGAGGGAAACACAATGACTTGTGAAACAAAGAGAACCTGCATCCATGCAGTGCTGCACCTCAGCTATCCCTGTTTGCTCTTAGCCAGCTTGGGATAATCCTCCATGTCAATTATAATTTCCCCATTACACCCCCCTGTAATGGTAACTCCCCATGTAAATATATATTAAGAGAAGTTTGCTAACAATTTAATGGAGTTCAACTCCAAGCACCTCCTGGGAATGGACAAAACCCATCATGATGGCTACCTCTGAGTTATCCTCCAAATGGAGTCTGAGACTTTTGCCTTGAACTTGTATCTTTGAATATTGGAGTTCAGTCCTTTGGCAATTCAAACACAGGGAATCTTCAAAAAGAAAAAACTCCTCACAATATATTTTCATATAACTTTTCTACCAAGCTGCTTTAGTCAAAGGTCACACAGTGAAATCAGAGTTCTAGTACTCTATGAATTTTGGGCACCTCTACTGTAGGATAAAGTTCTCAGAATTTCTTTTGTTCTTTAAGCCTAACACACCCATCAGCATGCAAAACAAAATGTTAATCCCTTTATTTATTTTGTGGTTAATTAAAAGCTTTATGTAAACTACCTAAGGGAACTAAATAACCTTAACTTCCTCATAACTCTAAAATTTTAAGCCTAAAAGACAAGAAGATTAGAGACCTTACCTTATACAAGTAAAGCCAATTCCATGCAAAACTGATGAAAAAACTTATTAACAAAAGACGTTTTAGCTGAACAAACCAAAGAATACGTGTCCAGAGCTCTGTAGCTATTACAGTTACAATGCACACTAAGCACAAGAGTAGCTGAAAAAGAAAAGAGGAAAAAATTATGATCCAGATTTGGCATTTTCCAAGCTTACTGCCAGTACACATGAAGAAACTTCCAACTTTTGTTTTCTCTAGTGTCATTTACACAGTTTTTCCTTGCTTTCACAGCACATCTGTGCAGCACAAGGCAGAAGTTTCATGGCATTACTAGTCATTCCTATCACAGCCTTACACTGTAGTTGCTCATTTCTTTCTTGTGATACTGAGTTATTTCTTCCTTATGATGTTTATCACGTTACCTACCACACTTTTAAATTATAAAATTGGTGTCAGTCACTGCTTGAGTAGTATGTGCCTGGTATGAACCACAGAACAACTGCTGCCAACTCCTGCACTTTGGTTAAGAGACAAAGTTACAGTTTGGGTAACAGCAGTAAGACCTCAGAGAAGCACTTCACAGTCTCCACCATCTGAGGACCCCTAACAGTGAGGTTTTGCTACCGACAGACAGCTTGCTTTTGTGATTTGGCTTTCATGGACCCCTCAAATCTAGACAGGCTCCTTTCAAGATTATGTCACTATAAAACATCAGCATATTCTGAATTGTAAAGCTTTATTCAGAGAGCTTCGGCTTATCAGAGATCCTCAGCTTAGCACTTTATAATTCCATAGTCATGCTCTGCTCTCCAACACTCCACAATTTGTTCCATAAAATTTGCAAGAGCCTGTAAGAGTTCAAATATATACTTGTCTCAGTGTAAATATATTCCAACTCCTGCAGAAGCCAACAACTTCAGCATCTACTTGAACAAGAGAGAAACCCAGAAAATCTGTAATGCACGAAATGTCAGTTCTAGTGATAAGAAAGTGCTAGAGCCTAATGAGTCAAGGAGTACAGATATAAGACAAAAAGAAGAGAAAAAAAAGCATAACAGAAAAAAACCCCACAAAGCTACAGTAAGAGAAGATGATCATAGGAATAAAAACCTTGAATTCTTACTTAAAATGAATACATCCCCTCTTCCTTCAGCAATCATGAAAAACCCATGACTCACTGAAGTAGGATGGAAAGAACTGCTTTCCATGTGGAGTTAAGATGGTTATATTATATATATATAAATATTAACTGACTAGACTTCCCCAGAGAAACTGGAGAAAACTGCAATCAAAAACAACCCCCCTTTATTCTCTTACCAAAAACAAATTATATAGGTCAATTCCAAAAGTGTCCTCAAATCTCCAGTGCCAAGCTTGATAATCATGGTGCTTAAAATTGATCAAAATATCACTAAGTGCATCATCCATGGCACCTGGCTGCCAGCTTTCCTCATTGAGAAACCTGAGGATCTCCAGATATGTCTGTTTTGTAAGGATGATCTCAGCGTCGTAGTGGACTTGGCCCACGTTTTCGTCAGGCTGAATTAAAAGCAAAGCAAAATAATGTTAAAAGCTGCTTATTTGGAAATAGAAGTGCATCCCTAGGCAAAAACCTGATTATATACCCTTCATGCTGTACCAGAACCTTTCTGAAGCAGACTGCAGGATGAAAACATGGGACAAAAGTATGATTGTGTCCTTTTTGTTCATTCTTCTAAACTATATGATACTCGAGTTCAACTGGTTTGTACTCCTTCAATTCTACAGCAATAAACTAACAGAAATGAAGTTAATTATCTCACCTGTTCTTAAAACTTTAAAACCATGGCTCACTAACAAGTAATAATGATATACATGCTATGTGTGCCCCGATCACAGCTGGATAATACAGACAAAAGCTATTAAATACTGAAATAAGAAATTTCACATTGCTAAATATAATGTTCTTTATTAAATATTAATTTTGCTTATTACTAAAAATTAATTCTTCTACCTCTGAATAGAAAAAAAAAATCTCCAAAGACAATATAATAAAGAGCCCACCCAACAAGTAAGTACCATGCAGCCACTCCAGCTGAACAACCATTAATGTGAACTGAACAAGGTATTCCTGTAGCTGCATCCCAGTAACAGATATTTAGATACAATGGATTCACACAGCCCTCCTCTGGATGCTTTGCATATCAAATGGCAACTGTGTCTCCTGAGCAGTACTGGATGCACACACTGCTATTACCTTCTCCTGTGCCATTCAGTTCCCTTCATTTTAATTTAAAATATGCCAGAATAATTAAGCAATACTTGATAACTGTGAAAACCATATAAAGTAGTAATATGAATTCTAATTAATTTTTTTAAATGACTGTTCAAATACTTACAAGGCCAAGTTTTCCAGCTTCATTTAAAATTTTATTCAAGTATCGCTTAAAAATATAAAAGCTACGGCTTTCCTGTGACTTGGCATTCCTCTTCTCACATTCTGCAATCTGCAATCGAGCAGAAGACACTTTTATTCACTTTGCTCAAACCAGCTTATTCATAGGAGAAACCCCCCCACACTAACACATTAAACTCAGGATCAACACGGGCACATTTCTTTAGTTTAGTAATGATTCTGTGATTAGTATGCCAGATAAAAAGTATATGCACTTACTGAAGATGCTGCTTTCCATGTACTGAATAATTTGAAAACAACCTTGGCTTTTGGCAGCATGGTGTGACATAAAATATTTTAGGAAACAGACCGTGGAAGGAGAGCAACAATTTGGAATTGAATTCAGACCACTTTCAGTCTCTCCTCTGAATAAAGAGGTTCCCCTACATAAAGCACAGTCTCTCATCAATTATGCCAGCAATGCACCTGTTCTGTACTATCCAGAAAAAGCACTGTCAGAAAGCACAAACTGTTAAAGACTGGAAAATATTCTGGAGTTGTGTAACAAACCTTCTGTTGCAGGGAATCTATTGTCCTGGAACAACTTGGTGAGTTTTCAGTACTGACTGTATCCACTGTCTTATCCTCAGAGTCATGATAGTTTGCCTAAAATAACAGAAGAAAAACATGTATTTCTAGAATCTGATCATTTGATCAAACATGCCCTGTTACACTTCTGTTGTCAGATTCCTTTAAAAGGAGCAAAGGAGCTAAAATCTGAGTGATCTTTTCTGCTAATACTCTCCCAGTGATACTCCATCTGCCTCTCTGCTGTTATTCTAGGTTCCAGATGGACAATTGCTTTAAGTTTATGTAAATGCCTGTTGCCTTCAAAAGGTGAGGCCTGTCCTCCCCCACCTGCCCTTTCCCCTCCTTAGAGTGTTGGTGAGCCACACAGAGCATCAGATTAGATAACTGGACTGGCTAAAAACTGACTCAGCAAGCAAAGGGGCAGCTTCCAGCCAGACAAATTCCCAGCCCAGCTGGCCACGCAGCCAGCCAGACTGCAAGTAAACACAATCCCCCGTTCTGGGATGCAGGCCTCTCCTGTCACATTCCCTCTTTGCTCCAGAAGACTCTATGCTTTCTGTTAATTACTCAGACCCAGTTTTAGCAGTGCTGCTTCTACACCACCAGGAGTGGACATTGAGGGAAGTCTCCAAAAGGAAGCACAACAGTGCACAAATCAGTGACTCATGCTGAAACCAAGTTTGGTCTTGAGGACTCGGACGGCCCCCATAGCCTGCCTACCTAAAAACTCACTGCAGAGCAGAAAAGAAATCCTGAAAAGATGGATTAACTCAAAGCAGGCATTTTTCTCCTTTAAGATCAGAAGTTCTATTTTTGTAAGAGACAACAGTAAAACTACTATTTTTTGTATAAAAGCTGGAGCAGTTTGGCTCCAAGTTTAAAGACTCCAAAGTTTGGTGCTGAATTTTAGGGATGTTAATGACTGTCAGGTGGACTTGAGGCAGGTGGAGGTTGAAGAGGAATGCTGTGGAGAGAAATAACGCAGTCTGCATTTTTTAACTTCAGAAAATTACATTCTAAAGTGGTTAATTAGTATCATTCAAACTTGAAAGCTGAATAATGACAAAAATCAAAGGCGCCCGTGCAACCAACCACAGTTTACAGTGCCATGTGTGCACATACGTATTTGATTAACATGCATCTATGTAGAGTCCATCCCTCACGCAGGACAACTGAGATGATTCACCATATTAAAACTAGTTTTTTTCCTACTTCATCTTCTCCTAAATGTTCACAAATCACTAACAGTACAGCACTCAACCCCTATTCTGATCTTGCTTCTGAAAACTGATGCCTAGCATTTCAAAACACATTGTGACTTTCACAACACACTCACATGAGAAATGTGCTTTGTTACCATATTGCTGTGAAACAGGTTAATTAAAGTAAAATGCAACCATAAACTCCCCCAACTGTTATCAGGTAGGAACTTGATTTTCAAGATATTTAATACTATACTTGAGAAACTAGCTGCTTAACCCAGTACTTCTCAGAGCAGTAACTTGTGGTGCCACAACCTGCATAAATCAAGCACCACCTGCAAAAAGACAAAAAGCCTGGTTGCTGTGACTGGATCAGTGTGCAACAGAAACTTAACAGGAAAAGGTCCTGAGCTAACTACAATAACATAGATCACTATTTTTTTTCCTTGCAATTTTAACCATGGACACAAAGGACTTTTCTGTGAATGGATTCAGATACAACATAGTAAGGCCTTAAAAATATCATAATTCTATCATTATCTAATGTCACCATTTAAGAGCAATCTTTCAACAGCATGTGGCTGAAGGACTGTTTGGGAGAGATATGTATTCATACACCCTTTCTTTTTCTACCTTGTAAGGTCTTCTCATTGTTCCTGATGCTGCATCATAATTGAGCATATCCGTGGGGTCAATCCATTCATCTTCTTGAACTTTACCGCTCCCTACCAGCATAACTGCACACAACACCAGAGGGAACAGCATCCTGTATCACTGAATGTAACAAGAAATCCACATATTTAGGTCAGGGTGTAACATGCAACAATCTTACATGAAAGAAGTATTCTCTGGTGCTCTTTAAAAACTCAGTTCTCCGTTAAGCAGGTTAAACTTCACTTCCCTCTTTTTCCTCCCCCCCCCAAGGAAATTGCCAGCAATAATATGCACCAATTAAACTGTACTACATAACTGGATCAATATAACTGACCACAGATATCAGCAGGTGTAACATGGAGTTCAGGATTGCTAAATACAATAAACCTGTGCAGAACTCCTCCAGGATTCATGGCCAGATCACAAGCCCAGTCTCATGCAATAACTCTTAGGTGCAAAACAGTGTTATTTGATAAGCAACAGAAACACAGGCTCTTGGACTGCTGGCGCTACATAGTGTCTGCAGGAGTGCATGAACACAAAAATATGAATAATACAGGTGACAGCAAATACATAACATTGGGAGCTGACCATCTAGGGCTAAAAGCACGATCACAAACACAAGCTGGCTCTCCCAATTTCCCGAGGAAGCACTTGGTACGGCAGTGTTCGAGCCTTACCCAACAGGCATCCCTACATGGAAGAGATAAGCACAGACTGCCGACAGTCCCAGGGTACAAAGGTGGAGTCTCCCCTGACCTCCCATCCCTCGTAACCTATATTTATATTGTTTTCTGTGAGGGAGGGGGAAAGGTAGCGTTTCAGCTGATGTCATTTCACGTTTAAGTGGTTTGAGTGACTTTAGTCACACGTGTAAAGCATGTACAGGTTTTTACTTCATTAGCCCACGTGGGGATGTGAAAAGCGACACGTATTTTCGAGTTAATAGAACAAAGTTCAGCTTTTGGTCGGTCACTTTTTAGATCATTCCTCTGGCTTAGTTCCCGTTGGCGGCATTGTTTTAAACGGAGCATGGCCACACCACCTCCGTGCCGCGCCATCCCTTGTCCCCGGCCTCTCTGAGGGCGATACACCTCGCTCCCCCAGCGGTCCCGCTCCTAAGGGTGCAGAACAGCTCGTCCCCAGGGAATTACTGCCACCGCACGCACTCCTGCTCGCTGACCTTTCACATTATTTTTCCACAGAGGGTCAGCACGCCCGTCACGCAGAACAACAATCAAGGCTGGCCAGCCCTGCAGGGCACCCCGGCTCTGACCGGACGGGACGCACGGCCTGGTGCCCTCGGGGCGGCTCCGCCCGGCCCCGCACAGGCCGGCGCTGCCGCCCGGCCGAGCGCTGTAGGCGCGGACAGGGCCACATGAGAGGAGCCACCGGCCGCCTCTCCCCCGCCCCGGCCTCCTGTATCTCGGCAGCGACACCGCGCTCCGCCGAGACGGAGCGGCCCTCCCGCCCCTCGCCCGGAGCCGGACACGGCGCAGGCCCCGGGCCCGCCCCCCCGCCCGTACCTGAAGGCGCAGGAATCTCGTGTGCTTTACCCGGCCCGTCGGGCCGCCCCACGCGTCGTTCCTCTCGGCTCCTCCCGGCCCTGCAGCTCCCCCGGCCCGGGGGGCGCCCCGCCCAGGGAACGGCCGCCGGACAGCGGCCGCGGAGCCGCCGCCCGGCCCTCAAGCGCCGGCTCGCGCTCAGGGCCCGCCCCGGGCCCGCCCAACCCCGGCCCCGCCCGGCACCGAGGGAGCCCCAGCAACTCCCACCAGCTCCATCCCCGCCCCTCTCCTCCGGCAGAGGGATTTTTCGTTTCTTTCGAATCGCCTCCAGTCCCAGACAGACATAGAGGAGGACTTACCTTCGCTAAATGCGAGCTCAGTCACAAGACGCTGTGACGTAAAACAAGGGATGGAAATCTGGATCTGCTCTTTAAAGACCCAAGCTGGAATAAAATTAATGGCAGAAGACAGTCTTTACATAGTTGTAGTACTAATTAAGTCTGCCAGCTTTGTCCACAGATAAACAACTAGAGGAACACTATTTTCCTCCGAAGCAGCATTATGTATGAAATACAGAAAAATAAACAAGATTATTATCACACTGAAAATTCAATATAGGGAAACAATATCAAAACTCTTGAGTATTTTATAGTTCTGGCATGTTAAGTCATATGTCTAATTCTGTATCACAGTTGTATCAAATAATTATGAACTAAGAATCCAAAATAACAGCCAAAACGGATGCAGGTGTTGGAGGTCTTTATTGAGATTATAGCACAGATACACTTCTATATTTACCTTTCCACTTTTATACGATAGTTAAAAATGCTTGCTACAGTGCACATATAATTTAGTAACCAAGAGAATCCAAAACTTAACTGCAGTTCAAATAAATAAATAACCCAAAGTTTAAGGTTTATATTTTAAAAAGTAAAAGGAACTGTACAATATGAAAATATAACAATACATAAACATTAGAATCTAAAGTTTTGTAGAAATAAAACTGCAGTTTCCCATACATAAACAGTGCAAGAAATAAAATTCAGATAAGCTTCTGAACTGGGAATTTAAACAATTCTTAAATTATCATGCAGACATAGCATTTTAAGCCATGCTGGTTTCTATTATAGCATTAATGGTATCCCTTTTACTTGAAAAATTGATAGCCATTAAGCTCACTGTGACAACTGCTGCCAATCCACTCTTTTCTACAGTACATTATACACAGAGGTATTCTGTTGCATTCAAAAAGTAAAATATTACATGTTTCTACTGAAAAAAGTCAATATTTTACTTTTCCCCCTCCAACATGTTAGCTTGTTCAAAACAATGTCATGTAGTAAAAACAGCAACATTTTTCCCAGGTTAGATGAAAAGAAAGAAAAAATCCCACACTATAGAAGGGACCATAATCAAGATGTGATTGCTGCCTAGTCAGCCTTTAAAGTTCAGATATTTTTACTAAAAACACTGAAATTGTGGAGATGTTATAAAGTCTGATCTCTTGTTGAGGAGTGATGAATACAATGAACCTGAAAAAACAGTGGAAGTTTTAGGTGTGTGTGTGTATGTGTGTAACTAGTTACATACAGACTTGATTAAAGTGTTGTTCAACTTAAGTTCTGTACAAAATTCTCATTGAGGCAAAGACCAAGGAATGCAATTAATACCAAACTGTAAACACATCATTCATGTTACTCTGAGTGCACATCAACAACATAAGAGTTCTCCTCATAGACTTTGGCAACAAGACTACAATAGGTCACAGCAGCATGAGTTCAACATGGAAGACTGGAAGCACTGCAAAAGAATATACTAAAAACACCAAGACCTCCTAGAAACCAGAAAAACCAGTGACAAGTGCCCCTCTTCTTGATAAGACACTCTCCTGCTCAACTGCTGCTCTCAATGCCTCATTATTATTGTTTGGACAGTTCTGTAGTCTCAGGTCTCTGTGCTTTAGCTGCATAGGTTGCCTTTGTTTGCACTCTAACCATTGTAGGTCCAAAGGGTTACAGTCCTGTCTGCAGACGACGACAAGAAGGAAAGATCTTGCGTGTGCCACCTGCACTGGATAACTTTGTCCTTGTGCTCTCCTACCACCATCAGAGGAAGCTGCTTCGTGAGGTCCCCTGTGGCAGAGGAACAGAAATCATCAGTCATTTCATGAATTTATACCCCAGCTCTTGAGTGGGTTTTTTCGTGTTTTTTTTTTTTACTTGTTTGTTTAGTGAAGCTCATATGTATTTCATCTTATGAAGCACTTGATTCCCCCCCCCATTCACATACACAGAGCATAACACAGGGCCCCACTGTTTCAGTTTTTAGGTGTTACTGGACACAGTACAACTTAAAAATGCAGACTTCACTGTTTTCACAAAAAGTGATTAAAGTTTAATGGGCCAAGAAAAACGAAGTCAATTAGATATACCCGATATCTTCCCTCTTCTTAACTCTTTCCAATAAAAATTAAAATTATGTACTCTTTTTAAAGTGTCAAATTTATGAATGCTATCTGAAAGCAATGGCCATCTCACTAGGCAACAGTGTTAATAATTTTTTTTACTGTAATGAGACCAAAGCAAGATTTAGTTCATAGCCTGCACTTTTAGCTACACAACTAGCCAATTGCCAACAAACACAATCACATATACACATGTCAAACCCTTCAAAGTTCTACTGTTTTTCTCCCCATTTAAAGTAAAACCTGATCTTGGAACCAAGATCTCAACTTCAACATTAAAGGCACCAAATGGAAAATGAGCCTATGATCCTTTGCAGCACATTACCTTGCAAGTCTGTCACCTTGATCTTCATATCGTACGACCCCGTGAGCAAGTAGTGAGCCCCTGGGGAGAAGCGAACGGAGCGAACGTCGCTGGAGTGGGGGTGGTAGCTCTGCACCATCCGACCCCCCCGGATGTCGTACAACATACAGCTGGAGTCCTCCTGGCCTGTAGCCAGGAGTCGCCCACTGGGATCAACAGCTACTGAGGCTACAGCACTGCCTGCAGGAGGAGAAAAATCCACATGGTCACACCTTATAGTTCTGTACATTTGCACAAATAGCCAACTTTTATTAAACCACAATATACATTGTAAAAGAATACTGAATGTTGGCCTTAAATTTAAGGTGAACACACACAGCTACTGTTACTTTAGAATAACAAAATTTTTATGTTCTGGCACTAAAAACTCTGAAGCCATAGGTCACACTAGAATTGTAGCAAAGACACTATTAGAGCTGCATGAGAAAAAGTGTCTGTTCCATCACAGGAAAGAAAGTCACTCTTTATGAACTAATGTGGAATACTGCAAGGAATTCATCCTGGTCCTAATGTTTTGAGAATTTCAGTTATGTTTTATCTGAATGTACTTGGAAGTGTCTGTTTGAAAGTCACGAGGTAAAAACACTACTCAACTTCTGAAAGAAAACGTTACTTTAAAAACAAAACACAGGTAAAGATTCCTCACAGGTTCTTTCTTTTAAAGCCAAGCCTCCAGCCTGTGGCACAATGCCCCCCTTACATTTCTGCCTGTATTACCTTGACGTCTTCAAAGTCTATTTTTATGCAAGAATGTTCAGAAGCATGATAGCAACTCTTGCCTGTTCCA